TTTGGTATCTGTGAGAGATATCCACGTATATGCACCTATTTAGGTGGTGGCTGTGCCATTCAGACCTCATAAATCAATCTGGCAGGTCCTTATAATCACTTGTGCTTTTCATGTCTGAATCTTCATTTCCATGTGTATTATTCCAAAAGTGTCTTCACTAAGGAGATAGATTCAGACTTGCCTATAGTTTGATTTCTAATGTGATTTCTTTGCTTAGTTTAAAGTCATGTTGCCTTTTTTATCCCTGCACCCACTATAGTTACATGCTCACGTTAATTTGCCACCAGTGATCACCCCAATCATTTTGGCTTTGCTACTTTCCAAGTTTCCCCTTTTTTAAAAGTATCTGTATTTCATATTATATTTTCCCCTCCTCCCTCAACCTGATTCCCTAAGTCTATTTTACTGGTCTCCCTTCTATTTGTTTTCTTAATTGGTAAATTATAATTATATATAAAAGTGGGGTTCATTATGATATATCCATACATACAAATTGCATAATTTCATTCCCCAGTACCTCCCCTGTACCACCTTCTTCCCTGCCCATCGCCTATGCTCACCCAATATGATTTGGTGATGATTTTCAAGTTCCTCTAATAAATAATTGAGTCAAATTCCAAATATGTTATTGATAATGAGTTCCCCTTGTATAGTCATTTGTATCTCTAACTTATTCTTGATTGAGGTAGTAAGTTCATCTAACAACTTGGAATTAGGTAATATTTACATTGCAATATATAAAGTAAAGTTATCTCTTTGTGAAAGAAAAAAAACCCTAAATTATTCACAGCAGAAGTTGATAGTGTGATATGCTAGGTTGGTAAGGAATTGTATATCGTCAACTTTCATGTCTCACAACAGGGTCTTGTGTTGTCATTCAACTATTATATTTAGGTTTTAATGCTTTGTCTACTAAGATTCTAAATGCTTGAGAATATGGAGAAAGAGAGACAGATAGAGACAGAGACTGTATGTGTTACACCTCTTGAGATTTCCACAGCTTTTAGCACTATACAATAAACATACTAGGGTCTTTAAAATATTCAAAGAAGGAGAAAGGGGAGGGGAAATGGGGAAATTGCAATAGGAATAAGATTCCTTAAGGAACACGAGATGGTAAAAGCAGAGATCCAGGGCTTTCTGATCACCTCACCAACTTATTATCACTGAAGTTCCTGAAGTGAAGAGGAAGATAGTGGGAATGGTAATTCACTTATATGCTGTTTATGCTTTTTGGAAGAAAAAACATCAGTATTGAAAATTCTCATCTTTCAGAGACTGAGAATAAAGATGAAATATAAAGTACGGTCAGATAACTGTCATAGGATATTTAGCACATTTTTGACAGTCAGTACACAGCAGGAACTCAATACATGCTTGCAGGATCTTTTATTAGCAATATCTTACTATGTGCATGAACTTGATCATATGCCAGTCACAGTGTAAAGGGCTTTATATGGATTGCCCATTTTGAAAAACATTAAATTTATATAAATGGGTAATTGATTCATTTTACATATATATTTACTTAATACATATGACTCACCTTCTCAAATTCTTGCTACAGTTCTATGTGATAAGTACTGGCCTAATCCTCATCTGTACCTTTATACAAAGAAGAAACTTAGGCTAAAAATGACAAATAACTTAACCCAAGGTTTTTCTAATAGCTATCTGAATGGCTAGGTAGAGTTCAAACCCGGGCACTCCAATCCCAAAGCCTACACTTAGGAACTACTGCAGAACTCCAGGGCCCCTGATGCTTACATAATATGCCTTATTAAGACAAAATAATGCTCTTCTGTATGCAGATTCTGACCAATGCTAGGCGCCATGGTGTTAACTCTAATAGTTGTGTCTTAAATATAACAATAACCAGAAGAAGGATGTAGCTTTGAGATTTCCTTAAGAGGTTTCTGGAAAATTGAATTCCACACACAGAATGAGAGCAATATTCATCATCTTCTCATCATTTGGGGGGTCCCTGGGACAAATTCTTGCTCTTTTCAACTACAAATGTCCATGGTTGTCCTTAGGCACCCCACTGAAGGATTTCCCCTGGGACTTTTCCCGTCCAACATGTAGATGCTTGTTCTCCTCATGGAGTTCCTCTTGCCAATGACTGTCTCTTTAGCAGACAGAATCACAGTGTGGATTTTAGAGACCATACTCATTAGTGACAAGAGTGGTTTCACATTTGGAAAACATATTTCCCAGCATCTCGTGGCATAATGTCCTCTGTCGGTCTACATGTTCTATTGGAAGCAATTTCAGATTGTTTCATAGACAGTACTCACTGGGCTCCAAATCTACTTTGGGATCCACCGTTCACATCCTCAGATCCTTTTCCTGTGTTCCTGAGGGCTTTACTACTGGCCTGTGTCCGTTTCTTTGTTCCTTTTCTAATCTCTTGAGATTTTTCAGTACATGGTCCTGAGCAAAAATCAAGCCTTCAGTAAGCCCTCATAGCAGGCTGAGGCACATCACACTGTCAATCTCTGATGTGAATAATTCAGGGACTCTGAAGTGATTCTGTTCCTTTCATTCACATTGAGATCATCTTTCATTAATCTCTTGGGCGTTACAAAAAACTTGAAGTACTCCCAAAGCTTTATTCTGAAATGGGAGTGAGAATATTTGTGATCTGAACTGTGTGGGTTTTTTTTTTTTAAACAACTTTTATGTGCTAGAGAAATGTCAGTGAATGAGATAAGCAAAGGCTTTGCTCTCAAGGAATTTATATTCCATGACTTTGTCATTAGTTAATATTTATCGACTACATTTGATATGGAAAACATATGTTAGGTGTTCGGGAACAGCCAGTAAATAAGATCCCTCTGTCCCAATTGAATTCAGAACCAATTTAGAGATAGAAAAGATAGACAGATGGAGATCAAACCAACAGCTTTATTACTGTTAAAGCTGATTGGAGAATGTGGCTTTAGATCTGCCTTTATCGCTGAATTTAAAATACTTTTTTCCTTGTTCACGGGTGTAGTTTGACAGCTGCAGGCCATCCCCCCTAGAAACAGACCCCTTACCACATGGCAGAGGGCTGACAAGAATGCACGAATCCTGTGGACATGTTCACTAGGAGAAAGAAACGTCTAGGAAGGGCCTGAACATGTCCAGCTTGTTCAGTTTCTTCTCTTGAACAAATCAAATAGGTGACAGGAGGGGTTAGGAATATTATTCTAGCAGAAATACCATCATATGGAAACCAAGACCAGGGTGATTATGCAAATAATAAATGAATCTCTGAAAACAAATATAGTTGAATCAGGGAAAACTTATTTGTCCTTGGAACACTAAAGATTTACTGCAACTTGTGAAAACTCTCTGGGAGTCATGGGTCTACAGGCTAATTAACAGGGATTTTGAGAGTTTGTAACTTGCAATGGTTTCCGGAAATGGTCATAATGCTAATGGGGATTTTCATTATGGAAGCAAAAATTATAGGTGAGGCAAAGATAGGGAGATCAGGAGTTGTAAGCTTTCCATTCACATATGAATTAAAATAAACAGCATTTTAAAATACAGTCTATTATAAAAGTGAAGAGTGATTATAGCAGTAATTGGGGAAAATATTTTTAATGAAACATTACATATAGAGACAAGTTGTTCGAATAAGTCTATCCTTGAAAATTCAGTATCACCTTCTTGCAGATTTGGATTTATTAAGCTATTTTCCAATATAATATGAGAGGAAACAAATGGTTTTCAATCATAACAACTAGAGTAATCACCAGTAAGACCTCAGTAAGGTTGGATGATGACTCTCTCCCTCTGGAGACTGCTGCAAACATAAGAGTCAGTTCTATTCCAAAGCTGTTGCTTGTTCCTAAGAGATCAGGTCACACTGTTGAGTCCCCCAATTTATTTGAATCTGTTATTTTATTTCAAGTGCTAATTGTCTCTCACAACAAACAGAGACTCCTCTCAGCTGCAATTATTGGCATTACAATAGATAATCAACAGGAAAGCCTGAATGCAGAGCAGGAAGAGTTGCCTTGGTTACAAACCTGAGATGCTGCGGTATTTCAGTTTTAGCCATGTTTCTAAATTTCCTAAAATCCCCCAAGAGCAAAGTGTTGCGTTCTTTTATTTTCTTCTCTGTGGCCCATCCAAGTTAGTTTAAACCAACAGAGAGATCTGGTCTTATATGGATAGTTTTGTGAGGTCTTTACAATAAATAAGCCTGCAAGAGAGAGCTTTCATTTAGAACACGTGTATGCACATGTTCATGGACTTTTAGAACAATGAGAATGAATCAGTTGTTGTTTTGTGCTAGAATAGCACATTATTATATTCGATTTACCTATAATCATAGGGTACAGCCATTACTCCATATTATACTCTCATCTCCCTTTTCTTAAAAGCAAATGGAAAAAACAGTCACCTTATGACCCATATATATTTCAGTCCCCAAAATGGTATTTTTTCCTTCTTGAGTGCAGATTGAGTAGGCTAATGGGGCAGGCCAAAAGGTACAGAGCGATGCTGGTAATGGTTTTTTGTCATTATTGTTGTTGCTTCTTCGTCTACTGAGTAAATTTGGGCTTTAAAAATTAAGATGATTATTCAGATAATGATTTATTAATATAAACAGTTTTGAAAGCAGATAAGAAAATCCATACTGTTCTTCACAGAACATCTTACTCCTTATCACGCTGAATTTGTGACCAATATGATCTCTTCCTTCAGTCATTAATATTGGTTACAGATTTGCTTGTTTTACTCCCCAGACTACTGACATTTTACCTAATTCAGTGAAGGTAATCAGAATTTTAAATAACTGTCATTAATTAAGGGCTTCATACATTAACAAACACTGTATTAGAACTTCTAACAAATATTGTATCATCTACGATGTAATAACTACAATGTACAACAATCTCATGATGCAAGCATTATTATCCCTCCGAACAGATAAGGAAACTAAGGTTTATAATATGATTTGAAGGGATTTTTTTAATCCAGATGTTTTTACGAACAATGTAGAGGGGAGTTTAAGAACCATAACATCTGAATTCAAATCCTAGCTCTGCCTCTTAGAGCTGTGTGATTATTGGCAAGTTACTTAATGTCTCTCTGTCATAATTTCTATCTATAAAATGAGAGAAGTAGGATTACAGATAACTACATGGATTGAAACAGGTAAAACACTTAAAACAATGCCAGACCATAATCCAATGTTAATTCTTTAAACACTTGGAATATTGAATAATTTCCCAAAGTAATTGTGTTTTTACAATTATATTGCTATAGTTATTTCTTGTATCTATAAGTTTGATGTGTATTATGACTTTTTTTATATTTACTCACAGTTTCAACTAGCTTTAGGTTTTCTTTGTTAACATTGTTATCTAGAGGCATCAAATAGCACAGTAAAAGTTAAAGCTCTGCAAACTAAGACAAAAATACCTTCCTATTCTATCCACCTTCAAAATTTCATTCACATGCCTGTCCAGTTCCATTAGAATCTATCTCTCTAGGATTTCTTCTGTATCAAAAACAAGTTTTCAAGTTTTCCCATTAATAATAAGTGTGTTGATTAAGCTTTCAGATGGAGATCCATCCCTCTTTACTAATATTAGGGTGAAGATTTTGAAGAAAAAAAAAAGTTCTTCTTGGTCTGTTAGGTAAGAGCAACAGAAAGTAGAATATTAATTATGTGGTAACTGTAGACAGATTAACTGTGTAGTAACTGCAGGCAGGTAGGGGGTGGTCACTGGGGTGTGACTTTGGGGTTTATATTTTGCTCCTGGTAAGTGAAATTCTCTCTGTATTTCCTTATTACCCAGTCCTGTGATGCTTTCCTCAGTCACACCCTTTTACTCTGATGTTCTGCCTCACCTTGGGCCCAGAGCAATGGAGTTAGCTGTCTATGCACTGAGACTTCTGAAACCCTGAGCCCCAAATAAGCTCTTCCTCTTCTAAAGTTGTTTTTAAAATCAGGTCTTTTGGTGACAGTGGTAAAAAAATTGACTAATATAATCTCTCAGTTCATGCCAGCTGTGCCCCTCAAATGTGCTTAAGGAGAAGTGAACAGAAGAAGGAAAAGTGAAGAAGGCAGGAGATGCCCTCTAAAGGCATTCCACTCTACTTCTAAGAGTTGGAAATTAATATAGCACCAAGAATACTGAATCTCTTTGGCTGCCTTTTGAAATGCAAGTATTAAGAATCATGGATACCCATATCTTATAAAAATAAATGCTAACCTTTATGGCTTCACCTTGGATGATTTATTCAGCCTTACATTACTATTTTGCACTGTGTATGCTCAGCACCATTCCTACCTCAAAACTCTGAGTCTTACAAGAGTATGATCTGTAACTTCTTCTCCCTCCCTTTCCACATACTGATATCTTGCTGGGAAACTTCTTCTGCTGCATTTGGCTTGTTAACTTGGACTTCCAGACTCACTTCCAACTCTCTCTGCTACAGAGAGCTTGCCTCCCTCCAGCTTGTTCTGGGGGGGGTCTATAGTAGCCCACTTTTACCATGGCCATGATTCTTGCCTCCTGATATTCACACTCTGAATAAACTATGGGAAACTGTCAAATGTGTGACTTTTGAGACTAGGCTATAAAAGGAAATTAGTCTACCTTGTTCTTTCTTTAACAATCTACTCTGGGGGAAACCACCTGCCATTTACCATCCCTTTGGAGAGGTCAATGAGGAGGCCTTTTGCCAACAACTAGCATCAACTTGCCTGCTGTGTAAGTGCATCTTAGAAGCAAATTGTCCAGCTCCAGTTAAGTCTTCAGATGACAGAAGTCCTGGTTGACATCCTAACTAGAAGATTATGAGAGATCCCAAGCCAGATCATTCAGCTGAGCGGTTCCCGATTTTCTAACTCACAGAAACTGTGAAAGACAACAAATATTGTTGCAAGCTTCTATGTTGTGGAGTAATTTGGTAGGTAACAATAGATACAGGGTCTATTCTACATTTTCCCTAGTACTCTATATTTCTTTCCATCAAAATTATTCCAATTGTCTACTTACTCATCTCCTCCACCAGCATGAGATAATCTTAAGATCAGAAACACAGCGATGAAACTTTGAGTTCACAGAGCTTCAGAGATCTGGACAAGGACTATTCCTAATGGTTGGACATGATATGCACTTCTTCACATGTGCCTGCCCAGTGTGCTGGAGCAAATAGAGACTGAAGTCCAGTTGTCACCAAATAAGCCTTGGTGAGGGATGCTGCCTCTGGAAAAGAAAGACCTTTTTTTTTTTACTTTGCACAAAGGCACTTTTATTCATTAAATCTTGTCAAAGGGCCACCTTTCTAATGCATTCATTGTGTCAGTCAGGGTTCATGCAGGAGGCAAAATCCACACATAATTTTTTTTTTTTTTTTGGTATTAGTTCTTCTTTGTTTTTTTTTATTTTATTTTATTTTTTATTTTTTATTTTTTATTGTGGGTTGTTCAAAACATTACAAATTTCTTGACATATCATATTCCACACTTTGATTCAAGTGGGTTATGAACTCCCACCTTCACCCCATACACAGCTTGCAGAATCACATCGGTTACACATCCATTGATTTACAAATTGCCATACTAGTGTCTGTTGTGCTCTGCTGCCTTTCCCATCCTCCACCCTCCCCCCTCCCCATCTCTCCCCTCCCCTCCCCTCCTCTCTCTCTACCTCCTCCACTGTATAACCCTGAGGGTCTCCTTCCATTACCATGCAATTTCCCTTCACTCTCCCTTTCCCTCCCACCTCTCATCCCTGTTAAATGTTAATCTTCTTCTCCTGCTCTTCATCCCTACTCTGTTCTTAGTTACTCTCCTTATATCAAAGAAGACATTTGGTATTTATTTTTTAAGGATTGGCTAGCTTCACTTAGCATAATCTGCTCTAATGCCATCCATTTCCCTGTAAATTCTATGATTTTGTCATTTTTTAATGCAGAGTAATACTCCATTGTGTATAGATGCCACATTTTTTTTATCCATTCGTCTATTGAAGGGCATCTAGGTTGGTTCCACAGTCTTGCTATTGTGAACTGTGCTGCTATGAACATCGATGTAGCAGTGTCCCTGTAGCATGCTCTTTTTAGGTCTTTAGGGAATAGACCAAGAAGGGGAATAACTGGGTCAAATGGTGGCTCCATTCCCAGCTTTCCAAGAAATCTCCATACTGCTTTCCAAATTGGCTGCACCAATCTGCAGTCCCACCAGCAATGTACAAGAAAATCCACACATAATTTGAATAGGGAAAATGTAGTAGAAAAAATAGCTACAAGGGGGAGATAGAGGTAGTCGAGGGTCACCCAGTAAGGGAGAGGGAACTCCAGACACACGATACAGAGACATAGGAGAGAGCCACTACCCATAGGACGGAGGCAAAGTATCCAAATAAGAAGTAAGTCTATAAAAAGATCCCTGCTACCGCGCTGAGGAGAAATGATTGGGTCATGAGAGCTTTAACCCAATCAATGAATTAATCCCCTGACAGAATTAATTGAGTGGTAACTGAAAACAGGTAGAGTTGGGCATGTTGGCACATGCCTATAATCCCAGCAGTTTGGGAGACCAAGACAGGAAGATCATGAGTTCAAAGCCAGCCTCAGCAATAACAAGGTGCTAAGCAACTCAGTGAGACTCTGTCTCTAAATAAACTATAAAATAGGGCTGTGGATATGGCTCACTGGCCAAGTGCCCCTGAGTTCAATCCCCAGTACCGCCCCCTCACACAAAAAAAAAAGACAGGTAGAGTGTGTCTGGAGGAGGTGAGGCACTGAGGCCATTCTTTTGGGTATATATTTTGTATGTGGTAAAGGCAGTCTCTCTCTGCTTCCTGATCATTATATGAGTGGCTTTTCTCTGCCACACCCTTCTGCCATGATGTTCTGCCTTACCTTGAGCACTGAAGAATAGAGCCAGCTATCTATGGACTGAGACCTCTGAAACTGTGAGCTCTCAAATAAACTTTTCCTCCTCTACAATTGTTCTGGTCAGATTTTTTAGTCACAGCAGTGAAAAACCTGACTATAACAAATCATTTGGATATATAGATATAGATATAGATAGATATATAGATATATAACAAAAACTCACTCAAACATGGTTAATAAAAAATAAATAAAGGGTTTCAGCAGAAGATCAGAGGGATTTCCCACAAAACTCAATTGTAAGAAGTCCATCAAATCTGTAGCTAAGAATGGGGAGGAAAGCACCAACAACAGAGTTTGCTTTTTCCTTCTCTCCAAGGTTAACATGGTTCCTCATGCCCACTGATCTCTACTAGGATTCTTGTTTCTGTCAGCCTGCTAGCCTCTTTTTCCTGCTCAGGTACCTCTGTGCTACCCCAAACCTAAGATAAGTCCAGAAGCTTTGATTAACAAAAAGAAACGATGGGCCCAGTGCAGCCTATATATGATCCACCCTTAGATCCAATGACCTATATAGCCTGAGAAGAAAAGTCAGAGTCATAAAACACAAATGTGGGTCTGTAATGACTCAGCGTAGGGCTGGTAAGTGTGTGGGAGTTTGGGGGGCCTGAAGGTTTTAAAGGAAAACTAATCAAATTTTCCTGTACATCAATACTACAGAGAAGTAAATGCTACACTACTTCCCAAGGAAACTTAAGTAGGATGCTTGGTCTCCCAGTCCTCAATTTCCTCATCTGTGAAATGGCGATAGTAAGTTTGTGTGTGACTGTGAGGATTATATGATATAATTCACATGTCATACTTAGAATGCAATGCATTTTATTTATTAATTGTTGTTATTATCTGAGGTCTACTCCTAATACCTGAAGGTTTAAGAATACCTGAAGAGATTCAAGGCCAGTCAGCACACTTGCATAGTTTACTAAAGATTCTGCATTTCCCATATGAAAAATCTAGGGTTCCATTAATTTGGGGGTAAAATTACTTTCAACTTTTAGAGAAATATCATCATTTTAGGTCACTCACATCTCTTCTGTACCCTTTAGGCATAAATTTAAAAAAAAAAATCATGTGTGTGGTGGAAGACCAGTGGAAAGTTTTGGATTCCAAGGAGGAATAAATATACAAGAAAACACAAGCCTTGGACAGTGTCCTGAGGACAGCTGGCAAACTACTGCAGTGGAACTGGCTGATCAATTAGTCCCAGCAACCAATTTCACTGGCTTTTCCATTTAATTGACTGGTTGCTTGACCACTGCAGAAATGCCCTTGAATGCAGGCATTATTGAACAAAACAAAGTGCCCCATTAAAATAGACGCAATGAAAGAAATGAGGCTCTGCTGGGAACTAGATTTAAATAAACTTCCCCAGCTTGAATGGCAAGAGGCTTTCTTTTCAAGTCTTCATTATTTGGAGTTGTTTTGTGATTTCAGGGAGAGATATAATTTTGTCACCATTCTCTACTGCTTGAAACAACGCTTTCCTCCTTTTTCTAAGCTTTTGTTAGGGTCTTTGACAATTCCTCTAATTCTAGTCATTGCCTAAATCTTTATTCTTTCTCTGAAATCTGATATTAAACACTGTTTTAAGAATTTAGATGATTTCCTACTTTGTCCTATAAAAGGAGAAACTGCTTCTTTTTCTCTTGCTAGATTAGTACTTCTACCCCTCCACCTCCCTGAATTAACTTATCATTCACTTCGTACTGCCTTCTCCTTGTCAAAAAAAAAAAGGGGGGGTAAAAAGCTATGTATTTTTTTTTTGTCCCTTCTCTCTGTACTGTCACTTCAGATTCACAGTTGCTAAGTATTCCAGGAGCCCACCAGAGGGACTTTCTCATGGTGTGATTTGCAAACTTTGAAATAACACCCACCAGCAGAAGCACCATATGCTCTGGAGTTACACAGTAAACTGACAGGAGCATTTCATTTGTCATCTGAAATTCAGAAAATGTCAGCAATTTTCATACCCAGTGATTGCCTAAATGCCTCTCTGGTTAGAAAGAAGTAACATTTACTCTAAATGCACATGAAAATATGAAACTTTATATTGTGATCCTAGAGGAATAAAAATAGCAAAGCCAGTATTAAGATCTACACAACTCAGTGAGCATATGGACAGACAGATCAAGTTTCTAAACTTACTTATACCCTGTGTGTGCATATCTAGGTGAAAGGTTTTATCCATAACGTTTATGGCATTTGGACTATTCACATTTTGTAACATTGATGATTCGAACGTACCTTTTATGATAAAATATAATACCAATGAATATTTTAATTCATTAAAGGCAAATATAACATAAAACACAAGCTGTTTCCTTTGTGATTAAATTTTATCCAGCTGCACTAGCTACAACAGAGCCAAGAGAGAGAACTACTTGGCAATTCCTCCTAATTAAAGGATGTTAATTACTCCTAAATACTATACACTTTCTGTGTTATAAAGGTTCATCTGAATCAATGTTATTGTGGTACTAAAAAAATTAATAATGATTTCAAATCTAATGAGTACAGCCAAACTACCCATTAGTTCATCCTTTAAAATGATTTCACAATGAAATCTCTCAACTAGTATTGCAGGAAGACTGGAATGTTCACAGCCCAGCACATTTTGCACATCTTTATGTATTAATCACAGTACCTGACGGTGTTTCTTCTTCAAAACCAAATGCTGATGACATGATAGAAGCAGAAGCAGAGACTGGGAGGAAGAAGAATCAATGCAAGACCCTCGGAGCTTTCCTTCACCAAGTTCATGTCTGGCAGCGAGCTTCCCTGCAGTAGAGGATGCTGAGCTCTCCACTGCTGGAATGACCTGTAGATCATGATCCACAGGACAGTGAAACTCGCTGTTACGGGCCCCAGCTGTTTTCTCATCTGATGCAATAGTCCTTCAAGGTAAATACTAATGTTTCTTTTAGCATATGAAGACTTTGAGGCTCAGAAATGAAAGTAGCCAAGTTTTCCCAATGAAGGGGCAGAGCTGTACTTGGACCCAGTCTGAGACCTCAGCTCACAGATTCCTTCCACTAACCATGCTCTCTGTCACATAAAGGGAATTGTATAAAAACCTCATTTTGCTTTATGACCCAGTGTTCTTCCTTTCCTATCACTTGTGTACAAGTCCTACGGTATTTATTTCAGTTCCGACTCAAGAAGTGGTTTGTTGCCTTAGTCTGTTTGTGCTGTGCTGAAGCTTGGATGTAGTTTGTTTCCCAAGGGTTCAGGTGCTGGAGGCTTGTTCTCCAGTGTTCTGATGCTGAGGTGGTAAAATGTGTAAAAGGTGGGATGTAGTAGGAGATGGTTAGGTCTTGAGGGCACCATCCTCAGAGAGATTAATGATGGTCCCACAGGGCAAGTTCTCAGGAAGAGGACTATTTTAAAACGAGTTTACCCTACACCCTTCAGCACACAATTGGTTCCCTTTCTGCTTCTCTATCATGTTGTGATGCAGCCACGAGGCCCGCACCAGAGTACAAATAGATGGAGCCACTTAATCTTGGACTTTCAATCTCATATATTCTCTTAAATCAACACAAAATGGACTAATACATAGGACTATAACAAAATACTTAAAACTAGATAATTTATACATAATGAAAATGTATTTCTCACAGTTCTAGAGGCTGGAAAGTCCAAGATCAAGGAACTGGCAGATTCAGCATCTGGTAAGGGCTGGTTTTCTCTCCTTTAGAGAAAACTGCTTTGTTGCTGCATGCTACCTGGAGGAGTCACTTTCTGCCTCTGAGCCTCAATTTCTTCACCTACAAAATGAATAACAGCTTCTGGTTCTCTTAAGATTGTGTTGGTTATCAAATGAAATAATGTATTGGCAAAGTATTTAGAAAAATATAAACTGCAATACAAGGCACGGTGCATTAGTCAAATGCTACATGGAGAATGACTACAAAGGAAGAAAATTTGAACTTTCTATAACTCACATTTTAATGCTTATTTTTAGATAACTAAAATCAATCAAAATTTAGACAGTTGCATAACTGAGTTACTGTACTAAATAGTTATGAGTGTGAACTTTGGGTTCAGATAGACAGACCTGGGTTCAAATCCAGACTTTTGCAATTTCCATTTATTGGACTTAAGTTACCAAATCCATTTCTGAAAAATGAAAATTAAAGTAACTAATTCCTTTGTAGCCAGGGTGGCTTCATGTACATGCAACCTGTGTGTAGGTCACACAAAGCTGTGTTCAGAGGGCCCTGCACTTGGCTGGATGCTCTGTTGTCACTTTCACAATAATTTTTTTTGAACTTGTATTTTGTAAGTAAAGCCCTGCTGGGAGCCATTAGCCAAGTAGGTATGACAATTTCCTTGCCAGCGTACCCCATGTGGCTTAGTGGAAGGACTCGTGGAAATAGGACATTTTGCAGTGACATTGCGTGTAGGTGACCTTGCTCAAGGACCAAGGCGGATCCGGGTTTAGGGTGTTCCCGGTTTAGGACTATCCGGGTTTAGCGTGGTTCCAGGTTTAAGATTATTCCTGCTGGGAATAGGGCGTATCCTGCTGCCTGAGTTCCCCTTGAGTTCTCAAGGGATTCAGACAGTATTTGGGGGGAGACAGAAGCCCAGTGGGGGTAGATTTGGGCAGAGAACGTGGATTTCCCCAGAACGTGTGTAGACGGCTGGTGTGAGTTTGGGAATAAAGAGTTGCTGTTTGAATCTACAAGCTGTGTGGTGGCTCGTGATTTTGTGCCCAGCCAGACTGCGGCAAAGCCCAATGAGAGCCTGGAGCATGCACTGAGCAGAAGCAATAGCACAGGTAGCGAGTCTGCCTCAGTCCATTGCCACTGCATTACTGCAGAGCACTAGAGATGCCTCATGCCCACACAATTCCAGTGGACCTGACACAGATGGAAGGTCAGAGAGATTGAAAGCAAACACTAGGTGCATTACATCTATGACTAGTAGATGAGGCAAGGACTGACAGCCCAAGAGGCCACTCTTTCCCTTTGAATCAGAACTATTCAAAATAGAGAAAGAAGAGAATTGCATTCCAAGAAATATGAACAACTAAGGAAGCCTGTTAGATCCTCTCCTACTTTTCTGCTTCTTATGCTGAAAATGATGGCATTGAAGGAAAGGCAAAGACAGGGCAACACTTGGTTTCACTTCTTTTCTATCCTTCTTTACTCATCAGTAATCCAAAAGTAGAGAGCATGAACAGAATGTTCACATCTCACTAAGTCAAATGAAAACACTGAAGTTAGCTTTGCATGGCATTTGGAAAATGATGGCTACTGGGGTTCTAATTGTTCCTGAAGTTTTGTGCCATTAAGAATTTAAAACAGAAGCCACAGAAAAAAGGTTAAGAATGCAGGTTCTGGAGTCATCTGCCTATTTCTAGGTTAAAGTCCACTTTCTTGTTGTATCATCCTGGACAAGTCACTGAACTATGCTGGGCCTCATAAAATCACCGTAAAGTCATTTTAGGATTGTTGAAGAGAACTGGTGAGTCTGTGTACCTAGACTAAGGTCAAGAGAACATGTAGATGTCCATCCAATTTTTATAACTATGAATTTTGCTACTAATTTTTGTTGCTGGAATACAGGGAGAAGACATTAATGATCTGGAGGAATCAAGGGAGGCTTTACAGAGGAGGGCTTTACAATCGGGCTGCCCCTTCTGAACTTCACATTCATAAGTGAAGCAATTGGAAAGGGTGGGTCGGGGGAGTCAGGCTTGAAGAGGCCTGCACCATTAACTGACCTTAATGACCAAGCCAAACTCATCAGAGCCAACTCCAAACTTTCAAACAACTTTTGTAGAACTATTTAGGCTAGTGTGTTATACTCTTTACATGTTGACTTATGCTCTTAGGAAGACCATAAGAAAAAATAAAACTCCTTAAAAACACATAGTTGTCAGAAACAATCCAAGATTCCCCCACTGGAAGACTGCATAAGAGAACCTCTTAGCAGAATAAGATTGCTCCTAATGGTGCAGGCGCACACTGGAATCAATCAGCTCTGTGCAGCAGCTCTTGTCTGTTCATTTTATATAGTTGCCCAGTTTGACAAGAAATCCAGAGAAGGGCTGAGAAGTGTTGTCAGCATAAAGATGGGAGAGAGGTGATGTACTAGGCTAATAAAAGGACTCACAAAGGTCCCTGAAGTCATAAATCCTTCTTGCAGCTTTTAAAATCTGTTTCCTTTGTAGGATTGTATGATGGAGCGTTGACAGAGCGCCCTTTCTATCCTCTCCCTGCACGTCGGAAACCCCAAGCTAAGTGCATGGAGGGAAGACAAAATGAGATATAACTTCCTGCCTGCACGTGTCTCCTCTTCCCTCCATGAGGTTAGGTTCCAGCCTTGCCAGTGGAGAAAAGGGCCTTGCTGCCTGGGCCTCCCAATTCCTCCTGCCTGGCCTGACCTGCCCTCAGCGCCAATTCTGATGATTCCCTCCTTCCCACATGGGCTTGGAGAACTACCAGCTTCTCTTATTCATTCCTGTGAATCCTGGCACTAATCTTTAGCATTTTTGTTAGGTGAGTTGCTTTTGTTTTTAAATGAAATTCTTCAGGTAAATCCAACCTGAGAAGCATTGCAAATGATGCACCGGACTTTTTGACTTAAGCCGACACATAAACACTATCCAGAGATTCCACAAGTATGTCATCTTCCAGCATGAGGGATGACCATAGCCAAACAGTCGGCTTGCCTGTTTCTGTTTGGGGTAATCTATTCTCCCATGCTTGGGAAATATAAATTCATTTTTATATTAACCCAGGCAAAATGCAATTAGGAAATTAAATTGAAAATGCCAATATAAAAGTGCACTATCCCCAAAATAATACTAATGTATATTTATTATTGTCGTTTTTATTTAACCATACATTACTGATAAATGAATATTTCAAAGTTTTTGGAGACATATCAAACATGAGCACTCTCCCCTAATAAAGATATATAAAACTAAACCAAAAACACTTTTAAAAACACCAAAATTAGTTTTCCTTCAACCATCTATGCTTATTCCTAGTCTACCATCAATATCCCCAAATGTTTGTGTGGTTCACTGTGTGTCATTTTCCCCTCTTGGGAGATGAGTCCCATTGGCATGGGATGCAGAATGAAGTCATCAGGAAGCACAGGCCAGCTGACCTGCAGGTAGTGAGATCAAATATGAACCTTGGCTGCAGTTGGAAGCAGCATTCCCTCGTCCACAGCAAGTGATTCAATGCAGCACCTAGAGCCATAGGGTACTCCAGCCTCATGGCTTTGTAGCCACTATTTTATACTTTATTTTCCTTATAGAATTCAAATCTTCATGCCATTCGCCAGGTTTGGTACTAAATGTTTGGGCTATTTTGAAAAATTATTATTGCTCTTAGAAGATGATCATCAGACACCAAGTCACTAGCCATAGCTCATGGAGATGATGTGTGCAGTAGGTGTGTCCTAATATGTCTAGGGTGGGACCAGTTAAGAACTCTAGGTGTCAGGCTCAGGCTGCACCAAGATTTTTACCTAAAGTAGCCTGTAGTACATTGGGCAGAAGAAAATATCAGGATTATGGTCAATAAAAGAAGTAAAAATTGTGGGGTTAATTGTTGTCTGAATCATGAGAAGTTAGCAAGACATTAAGTAATAGATTCAAAAAACAGAAAATATGGGCTGGGGATGTACCTCAGTGGTAGATTCTTTGTCTAGCATGCGTGAGACCCTAGGAACAATTCCCAGTGCCAATGAAAAACGAAGGTGGGGCAGGGGATCAGGAATGGATACCAAAACACAGGGAGATAGAGTAAGTATTAGTGTTCTACAGCCAAGAAGGGTGACATAGTTTACAACAAGGTATCGCATGTTTTATAAAAACTAGAAGAGTTTGAGATTTTCCAAAACAATGAAAACTGTTTAAGCAGATGAAATGCAAATTATGCTGATTCTATCATTTACATGTTATATACATGTAACAAATGATCACACTGTACCCCATAAATGTATGTGATTATTATGCGTCAATAAAAATTTTTAAACTGGGGATGAGAATCAATTGGGTGGAGCTCTAGAGTAAGAAGAAACCAAGAATAAGGAGCCTAAGACTTAAGGGAATAAAATTGTGAGAGAATATTTGAAGCATCTTTTTTATGTAACTACAGAATCCTGAAGATATTCACGTGTTCCTAAGGCTCTGAAGGCAATTCCAAAGCAGCAATTCCAAAAATGTTTTTATCAGTGACAAAGTGACATTGAAGTAGGTGTATAACATCCCCAGATGCCTCCTTTGAGGGAAAAAAAAAAGTACCTATTTGGGTATGTGGATTCTGACATGTTTGTTAAACATCAGACATATTACTTTTGAGTGACTCTTTAAATATGCAATATGTTCAGATACAGGAAAAGCAAACCTGGAACACCGGTGTGTTTTATTTCTTTGTTGCTAGAGGTCTTATGCCTGCCTTTGTTGTTTTTCCCTCAAAACACAGACTGTTCTTTTTTGAAAATATTTATGTGTGCATGAGAGGATAGATTTTGTGCATTGTTCTCTCAAACTTGCTTTTTGCATTACTGCATTCTCACACATCTTTTTCTGTGGGCAGAATGACTCTGGTTTTCTTTATAACCA